CATAGTATCCCCAAATAAAATACGGGCAATTGCTGACCCAATAGGGGTTATATAGGGATAATGGAGAAGAACATGGAAACTACTATATTATAATAGGGTATATATATTGGGGTTATGTTGGGGTTCTGTCAGTATCCACAAAGACAGGGATGCTAGCTGTGCTCAGTTGGGACTTTCCAGCGAAAGGGGGTCCTAAGCCCGAAAGGTACTTTGGGTCCTTTGGCTTCCTCTCGTCTGAATAATTTTATTGGTGCTTGGGAGTGGGAGAGAGAGAGCGAGAGAGAGAGAGAGAGAGAGAGAGAGAGCGGGGGAGATCATTATGGCAACCCCTGTAACATCCTCATATGTACACGTGAATTGTCCCTATATTCACCTTCCTCAGCACCAGCAAGATAAAGGATTAGTGCGGAGCCGTGGGCTTGCTACCACCAAAAGCTTGAAAGCTTTCAGGAAGCAAGAGGGCACGAAGCAGTCATGAAGCAGCGCCAAAATTGACGGCATGCAGCTTGCAGACTTCCAAACTAAATCCGAAGCCCTCAACCAAGCATAAAAGGAATCCGCCCAATATCCCAGACTTTGCGTTCTTATGCAGGTGGACAGGGGAGATAAAAAATCGACACTTTGCGAAAGAAATGAAGGATTCGGCTTGCCCTGGTTCCGGAAAAACCCTCTCACCCCTTGAGTCTACCTGCCCTTACCTTACTGCGGGGTCAGAAGGGAAGATAGGAATATAATATTTGGGGATTATATAAAGAGTATATTCCCTCACTTCCTACTAAGAACCAGTAAGTTGTGAGCTCCAATCTTCATACTTCTGTCACGCCTCCTCCTCGAAGAACGAGAAGGTAAGCCAGGATGGCCAATCTGCCTTTTGAAATAGGGTTTCCCAAAAGCAGGTTTTCGGGGGTCCCTAAAAAAGTAATTATATATTTTTTGGGATTGGGGGTAGCTACCAAATTCCGGAGGCTAACGTCACAGCCTTGTAGAGCCTTGTAAGCACACCGTGCAGCACACCTCTGACTAATTCTGGCGTACGTACAAGTATTCGCCATCTTGACCTTGCAATGGGTAGTAACTGACAGTACTGCGGCTTATGCGTGTGTGTGTACTTAATGTAACGTCTTCAAATTTGACCTAGCAGTTACTAATTGTCATAAACATTCTCGCAAGTACTGCGAAACAAACCTCTCATGCTAAGCCTGTGTTGACCGTAACAACACTGCTGGATTTGGCCTTCACCCTGAGACATTGCCCACGGTAGCACCCACCTGCTTATGGTGCATCTACCCTGAGCATGGAAGAGGAGATGCCCAAACGTGAAAACGTCAGTTCCCAACTGCCTCGAGGCAAGAACTGCTTGTTCAGAAAGGCCATGCCCATCTAGAGTAGAAGCGAACAAACATACTGCTCGACATGCCCTTCCCTCAAACTGCCAGAAGGGGAGTAAGATCTTCATATGCTACATTGGGCACAAACTCCTTGAGAGCCCTCCCTGGTTCTCCTGCAACCTCTCACTCTCTTTTGCCTTTGACATGCATCTTGAAAACGAAGGAGTCAGCCAGGGGAACCCCTATATGCCCAGAACATCCCAGAACCAGATACAGCCCAAAACCTTGGGGCAAGCTGCCAGTCCCACGATGCACGCGGGCAGGGTGGCGAACCTAGGCTGCTCTGCAGGCTGCTCAGAGCAAATAAGAAATTTGATCACATGCAGAATAAAATGGAAGCCTATAGTATAATAGGGTTTACATTGGGATAATGGAAAAGAAAATGGAAACCACTAAGTACAGAATCCAGACGACTGAAAAGCGTGCAGCCTGAGCTCACATCCTCACCACAGAAAACCAGATTAACCCTCAATGCCTCTTTACCATCTCTTACCTGACCAGCCCAACTCCTGCTCTAGCTGCCCAGCCCATTGAGAATCCGCGCATGCAGACCAACCAACTTGGTACTCCTTCCACCGTACATCACAAATCGTACAACTGAACCAACAATATAGCTTTATAAGGCTCATCCTGCCAGCATAGGTTCCTGCCAAAGCTAGGGTTCCCTTTAACCTCCATCGCTGCATTAAGCCAATTTTTCAGCATCCCTGAACAAAAAGCCATGGTGTTGAGCGCCCCCCTCTGCATTCTTGGGAGCCAAATGAGGCGCTGCATGGCTGCACTTTTGCTATCCTGCTGGCTCCCCGACTTTGAGCAGCAGCTGCAAGGGATGTAAGGTCGACATTCCAAAGAACTGCTGCATCATGAGCATGGGCATGGGGTTGTCGCCATGCGGTCTGCGCCAGCAAGGAATTTCTTGTGTTGCAATGTCTTGATGTAGTCCTCTTACAGGCGCTTGGGTCCTGTCTGCTTCAGCGGCTTCCTGCACAGCGCTGAATACCAAATGTGCACAAACTGCATGGAAGAGCGGTCTGCTATCAAAATCCTTCATCAACATAAGGGTCTACTTATCCTTGCCCGCATCTCGCCATCTACGCGACTCTGCTGCCGTGATGCGATCAGGAGCGCCGCCCAACATCGAATTGCAAGCCTGCGCCAGAGCACGACTACATGAAGCGTATTCATTGTTTGTTCAGGCATTTCAGGCCTTGGCAAAATCATGCTTATGCCTTAGCTTCCTGCACAGGAGGCTTACAGACCACGCTTTCACGGGCTTTCCCCCACAGCCACACCTCCTTCAAGACACCCAACCGGCGGGCATCGGCTTGGATGACGCTGGCATTGGGGACTTTGGCCAGCGTCCTTGCCTCAGACCCAGCAATCTGCTGTCAGTCCAAACCACAAGCTGACTTACACACGAGAAAGGCTGATGGAAAGCAAACCTTGCGACTTTGGGACATGGACTGGGATGGTATCGGGGGTGTTGCGTCCTGCACCCATGATCGCGACACTTTGGACGTCAAGCACTGCAGCGCCGCTTCTGCATGGGTCCCGCATTCGATTGCATGAGCCTTTCGCCCGTGGGTTCTCTTCATACTGTCCTGGAGCTACCTGAGCCTTCAGATCTCAGATGGGGTGCGGCTTCCTCTGCCATAGTGCTGGAGGAGTCTACTCCCAAATACCGCAAGGCCTGGCGAAAGCTTGAGCTTGGGCTGGCTGCTCGGGTTCGAGTTCCCGTGGGTTCTGGACTGCGTCGGGAGTCACGTTGTGAGCAAGATTTGCAAGGTGCTAAGCCAGTACTGAAGCGTCGCACCTCCTACCATTGCGCATCTTGTGGTGAAACTACACACCGACACGTTGACATGGTCCAGAAATCTGAAGACATGCTTGCGAAACCAATCGGCTTGCCGCGTGTCCCTTCAATGTACAATTAAGCACATCATCAACCAAAACACGCCCCGATAGCAAAACGGATGCTCAAGTGACTCAAGCACTGTAATATGTGCCACTCTGCGCGCATTCATGTATTTCGCGCACGGATGCACTTTTCCACTGCTTGCTGTTTTTGTCTGAGAATAAGCTCAACTCTCAACAGCATGTCTGTCGTCATCTATTCATATATACATGTACATACACGTCTACACATTCATACATCCATGCATACATGCGTAACAGGTTTACATAATGCATGCATACATCTATGCACACGGAACCCCTCCCTCCTGTAAAACCAGGGCGGGGTGGCCCCAACTCGGCTTTCACAGAGCCCTTGCGCCCAGCGGCCTTGGAAGATTTTCAGGTCTTCAGGTGACCCCTTTTTAGCTTAAAAAGAATACCAGGCCCAACCCCCTAGAATAAAACACCTAATGCTCAACCCCTATAGCCACTAGTCCGAAAACTATTTAGGAAATGCTTTAAATTTCTAAACATCTAAAGACAGTCTGAGACAGATGTCCTGGTTTCATTGCGGACCGCATGTGCAAACCATCCAACTGCAATAGACATGTTACACGGCCAGCTCAAGCGAAGTCATGCATAGTTGACTCAGCAGGCTGTCTCGAGAAGCACATTTCTGATCCCACTCGAAATTCTTGAACCCTAAACCCTAAACCCTAGGATGGCGTCGATTTGTTGTTTAGCAGATGCAGGGAGCCTGACATAGCCTGACTACAGTCTCTGAATCCCAGAGCGCTGAGAATTGCGGAAATCTTGAAAGCGCCAGGGGGCCAGTGCCGCAACCCAACTCCAGAACTTGCGCCTGCAGGACTCTAAGGTTGGACCTATGGTCCTTAGTATGGGCCCTTAGGTGCTTCTGTACCTGGTAATACTATATAAAACCCTAGAAGCGGAGTTAAGGACCCAAAGTTAGGAGCCAGGAAACAGGTGCGGGCCCATATTAGTTATACATATTAGGGGCCCATGGTTCGGAACTAAGGATCCAGGATATCTGAAATCATGAGAGATTTGGGGTAAGCGGGTCTCATTGTTTTCTTAAGTAGAGCTCGGGTTATTCAGCGCAACGGTCGTCTAAGTACATGGTATGTCGCCTTAATCCAGCTGGGACTTACACGTTTAAATGCCAAGGCATCAAAACGAGTCCGAAGAGTGCAAGCACAAACCGGAATTTGAAAGGCCGCTTCTGCGGTTCGATTGTTTTTCAGCTCTTCCAAGGAGGGGCTTGACCTGAACATGACGAGCGACCTGATATCCACAAACCCGTCTATCTCCCGTATGCGTGAGACTGCAACAAGACAAATAAAACTGATAGTAACACTTGTAAGTTTGGAATTGCCGAGCTGCCGGTTTTGGTGGGGGGCTACCAAATTTTACCTGTTCACCTTGTGAGAAGTTAACTCCTGAACATCTCAACCTATTACTCACGTCAGCGGCCGTGGACTCAGGAAAACTTCACACAACTGGACCCGCATTCCCTGAAACTCTGATGGCTTGCACGGCCACCAGCACAAGCGCCAGCTTTCGGAAACTCCTACAGCCTAAAGCCTACACGGCCCAGTCGTCTTTCTCCTTGTCATGGTCACCGTCATTATCACGCTTCCAGGCTTTCTACCCACTCTGCAATGGTCGCCAGCCTCTCCCTTCTCCAGGCCGGCCATCCGCGCGACAGCCTCTCTGGCCTCGAAAATATGGACTCCTTTTGTTCAAAGGGAGTGGCAAAGAGCATGTGATTTTGGCTTTGGCCCTTGCATACGTCCAAACACGACGGGAATGAGCATGCGTCTTCTGGACCTTCAAGTTTTGCATGCGATGCCATGAACCTAGGAAATCTCAGCTGCACTTGTAAAGTATCGCTGCTAAGGGCACTGTCGAAGTGGCTGCAATCCTTCTCACAACTTCATTGCAGGACCATCAATCAATCAGCCCGGGCGCCCCATCTTCGAAAGGAGCTAGGAGATCGATCAGCCGGCCTGCTGGCGCCATTGATTGGCCAAGTCTGCTAGGCATCTTCGTGCAGTGCTGCCGTTCTGTAGAAGCTGCGGGATGCCATTAACTCATTCTGCAACATCTTGCAGGTAATGGAAGTTTCTTGGCTCCGTCACCCTACCAGGAGGCTCGGATTCAGAACTCTGGCTCCTGCTGCTGAAGTTGAAGCCAAGGTCACAGGCGCCTAACTCCCTAGGACGCTCTGGTCCCCCCTAGCTTCCCAGCTCTCATCTAAGGCCAGGGCCAGTCAGGTTGTAGAAGGAGATCGGATCAAACGCGACATCTCCGTCTACCTGGACCTTGGCAGTGTGCGGCAGAGAAACATTCAGGACCTGCAAAGCAATCGAAGCCTTTGATGCGCAGGCTTGCAAGCGTCATGATATGTCAATGCATCTGCACGTCAGGAGTCGCTGAGTTGTTTAAGCTGACGCTCTTCGTTGTTGCTGTGAGGACTAGGAGAAAACCTTCCGCTAATCTTGGTTCTTCGCCTGAAAGCTTGCCTTGAACAGCCACTTGTGCCGCAAGGCCCTGCAAGCCAAGGCTCCGCCAACCGACGCAGCATCGATGCGTGCGAGGCTGTCTGTGAGCCTCTCCTCAAGCAATGGCAGGCCCATTCAGCAATTAAATCACGGAAAGCTGCTTTGAGGATTCTGAGGTGTGCTTTAATCTGTGTAGCTTTTTGAGGATCGTCAGGGATGGCATTCTCCCTCTTCAGCCTAACCTGAACAGGCTTCCCATCATCCTGTGTCTTTGGTATCCGTCCTGAATACCCCTAACATTCTTGCCCTCACGGTTGAAGGCTTCAAGGGGATGCCTCGCCTTTCATCGGGCATATGGGGACTGGCGTGGTTCAGGACCCACTTTATTGGGAAGGCTGATCAAGGCAAGTTGAGGCCGGGAAAGGCAATTTAACTAAGCTAAGCTAAGCACGAAAAGGCAGGCAATCAGGAGGCAAAGAGGTATGTGGGGGGTGAAGGAGAAGTTTCATTCAAAGAGGTGAATAGCATGACTGAGACGAAGCCAGGATCTCGGCTGTGGCCAAGG